TTAGAAACATACTGATAATCAGAATTCATACAGAATTTTGTTTATAAGTAATTTTATTTTTCACACAAAAGGTGTGGAAAATATCAGAGAAAATATCTTTAAAATTTTTATTTTAATAAACACAAACATTTGAAAATGTATTCAAAGAAAGCTACTTTTAAAATAAATAAATAAATAAATAAAAACAGATCTACGAAAACGTATTTTATTCTTTTTTTTAAAATTTATTATAGTATTTGTAATTTATTTACATGTATTCAACTAAGAAATATTAAAAATATAAATAAATTTACAATATAAGACGAAAATCTTCATTTTAACCTGATACATTATTTTGAAAGTATAAGAAGGGAAAGGAAAATATATTAAATATAAAATTTTATTTTTCTCACTACTCTCAATATTAAAATTAAATTTTTAACACGAGCATATTTTTTTTCAATTTCTAAAAAGATAAATCAAAAATTGATTAATTTAATATTTTATATAATATTTTATTTATATTTCCCTTCTTAAAACATCTAGTGTGGCATCTTTTATATCACTCTAACACTTTTATATAGATAGGAAAATAAATCTTTAAATATTTATTGAAAATATCTGATAGAGTCCAGAAACATGAAACATTTATATTATTTTTACTCTGAGAAGTGAGCATAGCTGAAGTTTACGGTTTACATATTTTTGAATAAATTATAAATTTTTATTTTCTTTAAAAATATGTATATATATTTTGATGCAAATTCTCTTCGCAAATGCTTTAAATTTAACAATTTTCTTTTTATTTTACTATTTTTCTACAAATATCTTTATTGTTTTGGATTGAAGTGACGTTTGTATGCAAGTTAACTACATCTGATGCGTGTAAATAAATATTATACGCGTACAGCTTCATACATCTTAAATAAACACGTATAAATTAATATAATATAAGATTAATTATTTGAATAAATTTCTAGAATAATCCACAAAATACACACGAATAAATTAAACGATATTTTAAACGCCATTCAAATTATTTAATTGCTCTTATTCTTAAAATAATATTAAACTTATGTTTTAAAAATTAGCGTATAAACATTTTCATTCAATCTATATAAAAATAATCCACGAGATTTACTAAAAAAACATTGTCACTTTTAGAAGAATGTGCGTGTAAAGATGATGATATAACATTATATTTATTTATCGATGTTGCAGAACGAAATCAGGTACACAAGAAGGAGGGGAAAAAACAACAAAAAAAGATAAACTCAATTATCTACATCACCAAAAAAGAACATCATTATATCTGATGACACAAATAATAATGTTCATCAGGAGGGTGGAGAAAATTGCAAGAGAAGGAGTGTAACCTTCTGCATCAACTTCCTACTGTAGAAATACAGTCACACGTGATCTCGCGTGCTCTGTCCGGGAACAGACATATGGGAGTCACACTGCCATCCATCATGACTTCGCTTCTCCGCAACAGCTTTGCCCTCAAACTTATTGACTTAAACGGTCTCTGGGATGGGTCGATGGCATGAGCCGTCTTGTGTGGATGTTGTGTCCTTTGGCACATTCTATTCACTAAGAATAGGAAAAAAATGCCAAGAAATTTCTTTTCAATTTTTAAAATTCAATCTATTTGTGTTTTTATTGAAAAATACATATTGTATGCAATAAAAAAAATATATATGTGTATGTTCTATATATATATATAATATATATATACATATATAGATGCTTACCTATAGGTTGAGATTTCTAATAAATGCAATTTTTTGAAAAGTTAATATCATCTAAAAGACAAAGTTTCTTCCTTTTAGGCTCTAATATGTGAAATTATGGATTTTAGTGTTAGACTTTTATTTTATTAAGTCCATAAATAAGTGAAATTTTATACAATCTATGTATTTTATCAATTATTTTTATATTAATAAAATGGCAAAAAAGATTTTAAAAAATCACTTCCTTATTATTTTTAAGAGATTAAATTACTTTTTATACATAAAAGATAATTAATTTTCAACATTCTGAGTCATTAATATCAAAAATAAAACAGATTTTTTTATTTATTAAGTATTATAAATAGCATTTTCAATTTAAAATTGTGATGAAAAGATACCGAAGATGAATCTCGACAAACGACGGAAGAAAAATCCCTGATGTATTATATCATATTAAACAATTTTTAAAAAATTATATAGGGTAGTTAAAACAGTTATTTTTTAAAAATAATAAAAGCAATTTCTGCTATCTTCGATCACCATTCGAAATAAAAGATGTGGAAATTGCCAGGGACAACGTCACAGTGTGGGTAAACAGGCAGTTAAAGTCTTCTAGAACGGTTCTTTAAAAGCTCTTACTATTGTTTCATTTCTAGCATAAATTTGTGTCGTAAAATGAGTTTCATGGTGTGATAAAACCGATCCTAAGAGGACCACAGTGTTTTTAAGCAGCTCATTTTACTTGAATAAAGCAGCTGCCTGGTCGCTACGAGAAGATGAAAAGTGTCAATGTGTTGTTAATTAAAATTAGTAATTAATTACAAAACAGTGTTTTTATTACCAGTTTTGAGTGCCGCTTTAAAGAAAACCCTCAACAAAGGATTTATCCTTTAATATCGAGTGACCCTATGAGAACTTACAATACGATTTATATCTCATAAAAACGTTACAGTTTAAAAGAGATTCAAAACAATTTTACATGAATTTTTAATGAGATTATTATAAACAGTGAAAATAATAATATTATTATTATTTCTTCTAGGTTTGGGTATCAGTTTTAGCATTTGTGAATATGATCCAGTAAGGAATATGTTCTCTTTCGTCTTCCTAATTCTGTGGGGTTTTATGTTTTCCCAGATAAATGTCAAAAAATGGAATTCTGAAACCAGTAACTAAAAATAGAGACGAAATCAATACGATAATATTAGAGTAGCAAATGTATTTAAAGTAGAAAAGTTTCTTTCCTTTTATCATCCTCGTCGAAAACTAACTAGAAGAGAGGATTTGCATTCTTTTTAAGCTTTTCTCCTTGAAAAACTTCTGTTCTTGGATTAAAATTAACATTTATAACCGATATTTTATCCTCAAAAAATATATATTTTTTATATAAAATAAGGATAATATATCTTATATAAAAATCTAAAAAGAAATAAGAAAAATAAATCGAAAAGAAAAAAATTTTTTAAAAATGATAGAAATCAAATATTAATTTTATTTACATATTAATTATAATTAATTTAATTAAAAATTTTGCGCTAAGTTTAATGAAGTTATAGACTTCAGGCAATTTTAAAGATGGAAGTAAAAATAAAAAATCTTCGTAACAAATTAACCTTAAGGGATACTTTCGATAAAATTCACCGAGAACGAGCGATTTATGTCCTGAATAAGTATTTAAATTTTCGAATTTAATTGTTTAGAGCGTTTTAAAGGTATTAAATAAAATTCTAACACACATAAAAGAAATTCGAATGGTAAAAACAAAACAAAAGAAAAATTGCATGCATTCAAGGTGATTGTTGTAAAAACTACAACTTGATATGGTGTTGGAATTATCTTTAATTATAACTTACTAAATAAACTGGAAATAAATAATTTGTTAAATGTATTATCCTGCGGATAAAATACTCTCCTTTTCGTATGGCAATACAGTCTCCTTCTGCATCCTTTCACTAATGAAATAGAAGTAAGCCAACTAAATAATAATTTGTTTACCAAGTCTTTCTTTGTTCAGCTAACAACATCGAAATAGTGATTGCCAAAGGCTAATTCGTTTAAATCTTTCTCGAATTAGACTCTTTCAGCTATTTTCTTATCTCAATTGATTATACAATAGATTCTTACAAGTTGTTCGACTCTCGTCGAATTTAATTCTTAATTAACTAGTTGAAATTAATTCTACTTTTTAAATATATATATATNCGTGATTAATTGAAAATTTGATTGTGAAAGTTTTTAAAGGATTTAATAATAAATTAAATTTATTATTATTAAATTTCAGATTGAATAAGATATCAAAATAACGAAGAATTAACTCAACTATGCATTTCTCTGAGAAGATTCCTTCGGCCTTTATCTTCATTCTACATATAAGCACGTTATGGAGAGATGTCACAGCTCTTTGTCCTCTTCGATGTAAATGTGATGACGACAATCTTCGAGTGATCTGTGATTCCTCCAGTTTAGATGTGGTTCCAATAACTCTAAATCCTGAACTTCGCGAACTCCATTTAAGTAACAATCATATCAAAGGAATTATGGCTTCGTTTGCCGTATATCGTAAACTAGATTATCTCGACATGTCTCATAACCAACTTGTGACACTCGGAAGAAACAATTTTGAATTGCAGAGACATTTAAAAGTTCTTCTATTACATAGAAATATGATTTCTTCTTTACAAAATGAAACATTTCGCGGACTTTTATCTCTCGAAGTCTTACATCTGAATGAAAATTTCTTAGAAGAGATTCCATCTGGTGTTTTTGCTCCATTATCCAGACTTGAAAAATTGGATTTATCACAAAATAGGATCTCCCGAATTACCGATCATGCTTTCCACGGATTAAAAAACCTTAAAACGTTACTTCTACGTGATAATAAGTTAGGTGTGGTGCCCACTCAATCTTTCTACAAACTTGAAAGTTTGCTTAAATTAGATCTAGGACTTAATTCCTTCAGAACTCTTCCGGAAACTTCGTTTATTTCGCTTAACAACTTGGAGGAATTGATTTTAGACGGTTGTGGTATCAGGGCACTGGACAAAGGAGCATTAAAGTGGCTGAATTCTCTACTTGTCTTAAGACTTCACGACAATGAACTTAGCGATATACCCACAGATTGCTTGTCAGAAGCTGTGAGATTGGAAGAGCTCCATTTTGGACAAAATCCGTTCAAAATCTTGAAACCTTTCAGTTTTAGAGGACTTAGATATTTAAGAAAGATTGAAGCCAATGGAGCTCAATTATTCGAAAGAATTGAGACTCAAGCCTTTGCAGACAACGTGAACTTAGAAAGGGCCATATTTAATCATAACAAAAATCTTAAAATTATAGATCACGGAGCTTTCGACGGATTGCCAAATCTTCGACATTTAAGCTTTCGTGGAAACGCCTTCAGGACGTTCGATTCCAGATTATTAGCCTGGGACGAACTAGAATACTTTGATGTACGAGACAATCCATTAACATGCAACTGCAGTCTTTTGTGGCTTTGGAACCTCCTCCATACGAAAAACTTCACCGATCGCTTCAAAGCAGATTCTTCAAGAATTTTATGTCTAGCACCGGAGGAAGTAAGAGGAAAAATTTTAACAGAAGTTACAGTTGACGGACTCGGTTGTTATGATGTCGAAGCTCGAAGAAGACTATTGATCGGCATTGTAGCGGCTGCTGCTGTGGCTGGAGCTTGCCTAGTCATGCTAGCAATAAGATGCAGGGATAGAGTAGCTGGACTTCTAAAGAACAAATGGAACGGTGGAAGAAAAGAACCTCAATATCAGAAAACTAATGGTGAAGAAGAAACAACAGTTCTTCCATCCGGACAGCTTCCATTGAAACTTACTCCCGTTACAGAACTGTGACATTAAAACATCTAAATTTCATGATTAAGCGTGGATCATGGCCCAATTCAATATTTAATACCTTTGTAGCTCGGAAAGGTGAAGTTTTAGGTCCGGAGAATTTAAATTCCTCTATAATTCAATAACTTTATCTTTCAATCAGTAAACACATTTATTTATTTATGGATTTTTATTAGATTGTATCGGTGCCAGTTCATACTGTACTCTTGTAGAATGGTTCTTCAAAGAAAAAAAGGACAGTAAAGATTGTCGAATTTTGAAAGAAGGAAAAAGTTTTTTAACCTCTTTCCCATCTCTAATTTTCTGTGAAATTCTTAAAAATATTAATTAATTGGGATACCCTAAATGACACATTGTGATAGATATGAAGAATAATGATCATAGATAAGACATGGACAAGTGTAGAAGTATCAATTATTTGTGTCCTGGTAACTATTTTTGTGATAGTTATTGTAATATATAAGGCAACCGTGGTCGTTTTTCCACGTTTTTTCCTTGACTAAGGTTGTCAGATGTACAAAAAAAAATCATTTCCAATAAAATTGAACGCGTATTTGTAAATTGTATATTTATTCATATTTATTCTTCATAAAGTAATAGGGAAAGAATGCATTTATTATGAATTTGAAACGATTTAAGTTATTTAAATTTAATTATTTTTAAATTAAATCAATCACTCTTAAACTTTGTTTGAAATTAAATCAGTAATTATAAATAAATGAACAAAAATAAATTTAATATTCAGTGTACCTTATATGCTATTCTAATTTTAGTAATTTTCATACAAACTTAATTTTTAATGATATGCTTAATCATCTAACTTAACATAATGGTTAGATTGTTTATGGGGTAAAATATGAAGTTAATACCAAGTGTTAGTTTTCAATTTTATATATATGTTTTCTGATCATGGTATCTATCTATTATAAAAAGTGTTAACTGTCAACTGTGTCATTTTAGTTAGGTCATATTAACTTATCCTGAAATTGTGTTTCTTCGGAAAAAATTTTTTTTTATCACTTTCTTGATTCAGCAGAAGGGATTATGTTATATTTCATTTATGAGTGTGTAGCTTTTTATTCTAGTAAATCTATTCATCTGTATGTAATAGTTTTTGAAGAAACATGATGTCTTTCATCCTATCACGTCTTTCCTTTAAAAAATGTTTGTATTTCTTTAGAGAAGATTCCTAAAGTGAAATCTTTGAAACTGCATGACAAATCTTATAGATCACAGTCACTAGATTTTGTTCTATACTTGTTTATAAGACTCCGAAAGAACATTCTAATTTTTATAATTTTTCACTAAGACAGATATACTCTTTTAGGAATTCATATACTCTACACTGTATTTTTTTCCTTACCAAAACTTCAAATTATACTGTTTTCGCTTAAAAATTATTCAATCACAAAATGCATTGAAAAATCATCGGATCTGGTAATAAATCAGTAGTGATTGTAACACTATCTGGTGTATGATTTGGTTTATCATCTCAAAAAAAGAATGTTTGAAAATAGCTGCCATTGTTGTTGCAAAATAGATAAATATTTGAAGTGGTTCTCATTGCCAACAGATGGGATTGTACATTATTTGTAGTACAGTAATACCTCGACTTACACTACCCCGACTTACGCGAACCCGGAGTTACGCGATTTTCAAATCTCGTCGATTCGTCTTTTGTTTGAGCGCCACGCAACCCTTGATTACTCACTCCCCCCACACTATTGTTCAGCTTACATGTTCGGACGTGTCGCGCGGAATCGACACATAGCTACAATTTATTTTGTGTTATTTATTTCTGTGTTTGTTATATCTACGGAGACTTGAGAGACTTACTATGTCATTCAAACGAAGCAGAACTAATTCTTCCGCATCAAACAAGAAAAGAAAAACTTTATCTTTGGAATGTAAAGTTAACATTGGATATGTTTGTAAAGTCGAACAAGTTAAGCGAGAATGAAGTCATCGTTATTCCTATTTCATTAGACTTTTCGAACGATTCGTTACTAATGCGTTTAACTCATTTGACTTCACGAACGTATCCATTATTAAAGACTTCGATACAAAAATGAAAATTTGTGAATCGGCAAAGAAGTTTGATCTACCGGAATTGTTGGTCAGAACAATTATAAAAGGCAAAGAAAAAATTCTCAAAGCTGTGAAAAATGTTCAATCTTTAAATTCAAGCATCATTCGTAAACATCACAGTATTATCGCTGAGATGGAAACAATGTTAAAATTATGGCGTA